TTGAGAAACTTCGAATAAAGGCCATTTAGTTATCTCTGGAATGATGTAAAAACGAGCGTTCTTGCTCATTTTGCTTCCGAGAAACATGCAAAACTGGACGAAAAACTTGAAATTTTGCAATAATCTTGCGCCACCCTGGCACAAAACGACGATAATTTTTCTAATTTCATAAACAACAGAAGACTGTCTTTTTTCTACATAACCCCCCCTGACTTTAAAGCTGGATCCGCCCCTGTTCAGCTGAATGTATTCTATTTAACTAATTTATTTCAAATATCTTAAAACATTGATTAAATAATTTCTATATAAGATGGAAAAAACCTCAGATCACTGCGTTTCAACCAATTCCATTATAGTGTATGGTATAAAGTGGTAGTAAAAAAACTGACAAATATTTTAATAAGTTTAATTTATTTAAGTTTATACAAGTGACAGATTTTTAAAGAATAAATCAGTAGTAAATAATAATAATAAGTAACTAACTTTTGCATTCTCGGGCATGTTCTTGATACTGAGGATGTGCTGAATTATAATCACCTAACGACTAAGGACAACACAAAAAATGGAAATGCCTTAATTATAGCTCCTGTTATTTTTGCGGTCTGATAAGAGTGAGGCGAACCTATGACTATTCTAGTAAGGGATTACGACACAAACAACACTCTGCTAACGATTATTTCAAATCACATTTAATTTTAAGATGTTCTATTTGGCCCAATAATGGGAATGAGAATATCTCCTGACGAAATCAAAAAGTCGTTAGCCTCGTAAATGTCACGTATGTTACTACTTACAAATAAAAATGTATATCCTAATTAGATCGACTTTTCACCTTAACTTCTAAGCGCCAAGTTATTGCGAACAGTCTTATCATAGCCGTGATACTCTATGGAATCGACAATATATTTCCTAAACACTCGGCACTCGGTTCCGCACTTGTTGGATTCACATTTGGGACACTCAAACCAGCACCCTGGGCATTTTTCATTTAGACAATCACACAAATCCACTCCAGAAACGTGTCTTCCCCTAGAACGGAATATATCATACTTTCATTAGGTGCTAAGAAACTTAATATAAAAGGTGCACAAATGGAAATAGAGGATTTTTTTCTTTAGATACTCAGTGTAACTGTAATTCTTAGAAAGTGTACTGTGCTTACTAAAATTATCTTCACCATTTTATCATTATTTACTATTTAAATACAAAATAGAATGTTGTGTACTTGGATTTTTATCTATGGAACTTATGGATGTTTCTACCAAACGATCGTTTTCCAAGAATATTCAAAGCATTACAAGACTGAATGATTATATCACCTACTTTTCATCATAAACAGCCCCATTGGGTTTTCTAACCGTCGACTGGTTGAATTTTTTATTGAGCTTCCGCTTCTCTCTCTGGCTCAAATCTGGATTAAATTTTTCCATTGACTTGTCGAAACTTGAAGCCGAGATCGCCTTTGATGCATTTCTTGCCGCTTGTCTATGATAAAAAACATTGTTATTAATCACGAATATTATACCTATTCAATTGGTAACTTCACAAACATTAAATTTGAAAAGTATTACTCGTAAACGTAACTTAATACTATTAAAAACACCACAGTTTACCAAAAACCTATTTTTTTATTTATATGTAATTAATATAAGCAATTAAAAACTGTATAATTCAAATCATTCTTGAAACGCGCCGTCATTGGCTGGGAGCAGTTGTGACGTCAAGTAGCTAGTCGCCTATGGCGGCTGCAATGCGGAGCATGTTAACATGTAACCTGTCTTAATATTGTCGTTAAAATGTTTCTATAGTGTATTAAGAGAAAAAGAAAACCTTTCGAAATGACTGACGCAGGTTTCGTAAAAGGACAATCTGACATTTTACCACTAGTGTATATGTTTAAGGTGGCATCTTACATTAAAAACGAAAGTTTTACTCTTGCTGAACTAGATTTATAGACAAAATAGTAGTAGTACAAAAGTAGACCTAGGAGGAATGCTGATCGTTGAAGTCTGGCTACTAGATGCAACTATCTGCAAATCGTCTTGATTAAAAACTTGTTCTTGTGTCATAGCAGAACTAGCAATAGATTCATCAACAATTCTTCTCTTAGCTCTCTTAACAGCTGCTGCCCTGGGATGATTTGTATGAGATCTTTTTCTGTCTGGCTGGCAATCAAATATATGAGGAACTACATTAGCCTTCATTTTTTTTAGACCTCCCATTAACTTGAATTTAACATAGTTATCCATATCTTCCTCCAGCTAGAATAAATATTTAATATTAAAGTTACATAAAAATATGTTAATATTTATATTGCATGACAAAAATAGTAGAAATTTTACTTAAATACACGACTATAAAACGAGATTTTTCCTTCGCAGATACTTATTGCTTCTTTTTAGCGTCTAGGAAAGCAAATAACTATTTTTGAGGTTATTATTTACTATTGCTATAATGCAGCCGAGAAACAACCAAAATACAAATTCAAAATATCTATCTGTTATACAATAGACAAAATCAAATATGTTTTCATACTTACATTAAAATGATCTTCACATACATGGGCAGTAGTCTTCTCAGAAATATCCGTTTGAGCTCTTCTGCATGCCTTTAACCATGTTAAACGCCGGCTTTTATCTCGTGGTACACGAATAAATAGCTTATCTGGCGTTTTAAAAGTTGTACTGGGACACAGTGGCACCATACAGCATTTGTAATATTGCTTTTGTATTGCTTCCATTATTAATAACACAGTGCACAGCACGAATTATGAACAGTCAAACACCCAGAGAATTCAAGGACAAGCCGTATTCCCGTATTGGCTTTCGATCGAAGGAACTAGCGCTATGACGTCAAAAGCATTTCCGCTCGTTTTGTGTCGTTTCAAATGAATAGCCTACGGTCACAACTTTAATTGTTTATTGCAAATGAAATATTGCGATTTGAGGGCGGATATTTGGTATGCGCGATTTCTCTAGATAGGCAAATATACTAAAGAAATAAAATATTGTTTAAGTTCCCAATTCATAATTTCGTACTTACCTTCTAGTAGAATAAGTAGGAGGTGTTGCTATCGTTGATTTTCTGGCTGTTCTGTTGTCCTTTCCCGGATTGTATTCCTCATCTGAACTATCGGAATTCATGATTGGCGCTTAAAATAAACAGTAATTTATTGATTAATAAAACAGAAACAGAGAAAAAGCATAATATATATGATAGTGGCTTGGGATTACACCAATTTGTTATATAATTTATTGAATCTATTAAATATTTAAATTTGGCAATTAACGCGCGACAAGAAGATTAAATGCCGTACAGCAATCTTCGCTCAAAAATGACAAGCTCTGCCTTGACAAAAGCTTGAGTTTTATAGACAGAGAAAAAAGTCAACGGCAACTTCATTGACCATCGGCGCCTTATAACGTCTTTGGTGTTCGCCACGTGGAGTCCAATCAGCATGAATGACAAGTTTGTAATTATCTGAAGACCAGTTGTCTATTGCACTTTTAAAAATATTCACCAACAATAAATCTATGGTAGTGTATATATATGAAATATTAAATAAGTTTATACTATCTATATATTGCTATTTTGTTAAATATTTAACTTATATACTTATATACTTTTACTATTATATTTAATAAACACATTCAGCTAAAATTCAAATTATTCATGAATCTCTAAAACGCAATTCTATTGGTTGTGACGTCTCTGGTCATATAAATGGCGGATTGTTTACGTTATGTGCATAGTGTTTAGTTGTGTGGTTGTATTTCATTAGTTATTTTGTGGATTTAAATAATTTATAGTTTGTGTTAAAAAAACTAAAACTAAAAAATGGCTTCAGAAGGCTTCCTTAAAGCGTCAACAAACAATTTACCATGTGTAGGTACATGTTTTTATGGTTACCGAATTTTTAAAAAACGACGAACGCTTTAATTCAGCCGAATTTAAGGGTGTCAAAGTAGCACCGTAAGTAAAAATACGTAAATTCATATGAGGAACTGGATTCCAACTCCTCATTCCCCCTACTTGTGCTCGACTGTGAAAAAATATTTTTTTGCACTGGAAAAACGGTTTATTGCTGAGGTGTAGAAGCCTCTTATGGGTGAAGTAGCAACATCTTTTGGAACGGCAAATTTTCCTGGCGATGAAGCTGTATCGCACACTTCAGATTGTATGTTGCACATTACATATTTACTACGATATGATGGCTTGACATTGACTTGTACCCCAATACTTTTAACTTCTACGATTATCTCGCTTACAACTTGCGCAATATGTTCACCTTCTGGCTCGACTTCAACCGAGTTTGTACTAGGCTGATCAGAACTTAACGCTTCTTGAGGTTGATCAGAACAAAACGCTTCTTCTACTAGCCGTTTCCTTTCTCGTTTTAACGAAAGAGATCGCTCTGGTGCAGATGCAGCTCTTTTTCTATCTTGTTGGCAATCAAATATATGCGGAATTACACCCGTTTTCAATAAGATTTTTCCTCCCATAAGTTTAAAACGGACGTAATTTTCCATATCTTGTTCAAGCTAAAAAATGAAAACAAAATGTGTTTAAAATAATGTCCAAGTAACTAGGTTTAGAAATGTTTTTATTTTATATACTATGTAATTTAATTCAATCTCTAAACAATCGACTACCATAATGGTAGTAGGTACCTATAATGCAATAATTAATTTCTTAAAACTAAATTGTATTTGTGAATAAGAATCTAAATGCATATTATTACGAATTTAATTAATAATTTAAGTTTTGAGGTTATAACTTGCTCTTTATTAGTTTTTTATTCGTACTTACATTAAAATGATCCTCGCAACAAAAAAACATTGATTTTGAATTAGGAACATCACGTCTAGCTGCTTTGAACCATAAAACTTTACGTGCATACTCCTGGGGAACGGTTAAAAAGTGTTTGTTTGGAGCACTTATTGAAGTATTCTTGCATCTTGGCACAAAACACCACTTATTTTGTGATCCATACATGTCACTATTTTCTATTATGCAAGATAATAATAATCAATAAAATAATGTTAATCACAATAACTTAAATAATAAAACAAAGCTGCGAAAACAACAAAATAAACACGAGACACTTTGTTGATATGACCTGCTACGTCACAATCGGGATAGGCAACCAACGATACGGATTCGACTTTTTTTGGCGGAAAATACCTGATTTCAATTTAAATTCGCTCTAAAATTATTATCAGTGTAATGTTTGTCATAGCTACTTTCTGTATATCAACATAAAAAAAAGTGAARCCATTCTATTGTGACTGTGTAACATTTGTTGGATTTTCAATACTGTATCTCTTTCAACTCTTTCACATTCTTCAGTATATTACTGACAACGACGGTTTACTTCATTTTGTTCATCACCTATAAAATACACTTGCAAAAATATATGCGTGTCATTAGCRTTTGTCTATCATAGTGCGTCATATCTGCCCTTGTCCAGTAAAAGTTAGTGAAAATCCGGGCACGGGCAAAAGGATGTCWTTTGAAAGCAAGAGTTATACTTTCTGATTTTGCTTAGAAACTTATTTGACTCATCTGTAACACCTGGGTATAATGTTTTTAAAGGCTCATCTGGTTAACCAAGTAATGGAAGAAGACTTTACCACTGGAACAGCACATTCCAGCAGTTTCATCTTTCCATTTGAGAGCATCGCAATACGGACTTTTTTATTTATTGATCTAATAACAATTAAAGGATGACTATGATATTCAATTGAATGATCATATTGAAACCAACGTTGCCAGAGACAGTACACTCCTACTTTTTTCAGTACGTCTGACCCTCCAAGTACGTCAGTACGCCCCCATAAGTTTTCAGTACGATGATCAAATTATCAGATTCTCTATAACTTCTTAGCTCCATAACACTAGCATAGAACACTTGAAAATAATTGTTTTCCCTTTCCCTTTGTATTATTTGTCAGCTCCATTATTGTTGGTTGTCTACTGTTTTGTTGTAATATGGTGGCAACATCTACTGCTGTTAACCTGTTTTATGCTGTTTTACCGACTCCAACGGACTTTCATTTATCCGCAAAATAATATTTTTTAAAAATTAAATAGTTTAGCCGCAATCTTCCGTGTCGTATAATCTGAGTAACCCTGTATATTATATATATTTTTCCTAATGGAATCAGAACAATAAGTTTATATTGTTTTCTTTTGTTACTGTCTAAAAATAAATGTTTTTTGAAGTAAATGTATTTGTTTTATTGTAGCATATACAGGGTGATTCCAAATTGGCGTCATTCCTTTTAAGGGGTGATAGAGGCTCCCTTGGGCAGTACGGGAAAAATATTGAAAATTTTTTTTTCCAAAATTTCTAGAAGATATTTACAGTTGAAGATCGAATTTCAACTTTGTTATTAAGCATTATTTTGAAATTGTTCCATGTTTAATTGGTAGCATATTGGAATACTTAAGCATTTAAAAAGAAAAATTACGATCTTTGCTTCAAATTACGAAAATTTTTGATATCAAAAAAGTTCTCTTCTACAATTTTTTGATGAAAAGGCACAGTGGCAATGATGTTTTTTGTCACTAACAGATAGTTACAGGTGAATAGCCCTTGTCAATCATAACAATAATTTGTCAAACTGTGACTTACTTTGAATTTCCTTTCACGAATTTGCGGGTACGCGATTAGTTCAGGGGAAATGCTACAGTAACATGCCAACAAAGGGCGAGGAGTTCCAGGAAGATAGTGGACGACAATTGATGTTCGGGTTTCAGACACAGAGGAACAAGTATTGGACATAATTGCAGCAGAGCCTTCCAGGGGCACTCAAAACATTGCACAACCACTGACACTTTCMCAGGCACCAAATAAATACCGGCTACATTCCTACCACGTTTGTACGATACACACAGCACAAGAAGATACAAATGGAGCAGGAGTTAATTAACTGAATACGAGAAGCTGCTTGATAAGAGTGGATAATAAGGAAATTACACAGGCACTGGCTTGTTTGGAGTTAACCATTCAAATGTTTGGTGTTGTATGGTTTATTTTTAAACACCGATATTCGAGGTTATGAGAACAGGTTGACATTTCGTCAACAAATCTTGTTGAATTTACCGTTTATCCTTGTCTATCTTGTTGTCACTCTGTATAATTCCATGGTTACCGGAGTTTTAAATAATTACGAAGCCACAGGTATTTGCGCAATGTTAATTAGGCAGATTACCTTGAAAAACATTGCTGCCGTATTTCTGATATAGTTTTTTGCAAATTTCTCAGTTTTTAATAAATATTAATTTATTTTACTATTTTTTCTGTACTCCTATAACAGCGCCAGACAACACCTCCAGAGGAATGACGCCAATTTTGAATCACCCTGTATTCTATGTTTGTTAGTTTCTATTATGTTCTTACAATATATCTCGTTTATGCGACATTTTATAGCTGGCTAGATATGAAATTTAAAAGATCACCCGGTATAAGCAGGTAGGTATAATACAATATATTAATATAGATATATCATATTTAATTTTTCTAATGAAAAAAATTAAAGTCAGAACGTTTCACTACATATTCAGCACGCTTTCGAGATCTATTCAGTACCTTCACGATAATAAAAATTTTGACAAAGCGTGGCCTGCATTTCTTGTTTTTCTTTAACTAGTGTCTGAACAGGCGTTTTAGCTGCTCTCAAAATACATTGTCGCTCTGCTTGCTTTTGCCTTCTCAGCTCTGCTTGAGCTGACGATTCTTTTTTTCGTGCAACTTTTGCTGCACGGGCCCGTGATGAACTTCTAGACAGATCAGATTTACGCTTCCCACGCATTTTAAAGAAGAAATGAATAAAAACTAAACACAGCGGGTAATAACTAAAACAATAAA